GGGGGGGGGGGGGGGGGGGGCGCGACGCCGAGCAGAGTGCGGTGTGTCAGGTGGATTCAAGCAGCCGCATGGGACAGGCAGGTGATAGCCGCAGGCTGGGTTTAAGGGTGAGTGACCGCTTCTTGCTGTCCCAAATAAATGGTGCTTCTGAAAACTGTGATCCCCAGTCACAGCTGGCATGCTAGTGCATGGGGGAGGGGGCCCGAGGACAACGCAAACGGATGTCAGCGTCGCGTCGACACAGCGGTGTTTTCTGCACCCCGACCAGTGCATTCTATTGAATTCAGTCTACCTGGGCGTAGCTTGGCTCCGCCGCTGTCGCCTCTGCCGCCACTGTCGCTGTTGTTGCCCCGGCCTGCAGCGTCGCAACAGCAGCAGCAGGAGCAGCATCTGTGTTTGCGGCACTGCTGCCGCTGACAGTGGTGCCGTCCAGCCGCCTCCGCTTTGAATCCGGTACATCAAGTTGTTGCTGTGTCGCTTCCTCCATGATGTTGGGGCCCTCTGCTTGTCTAACTCGAGACAGACGCGCGGCAGCGGTGCTAAGCGCAGTTGCACATAACAAGTCTTGCGGCCACCAGATGCATTAGTATCAATGGTTAGTATTTTAGGGGATTGTTAAGCCAACTTGGGCAACAGCAGCATGTCTAGATCAAGATCCTGGCGGGACGGGGTGACTTGCTGCAATCGTTGTTGCTTGCTGTCGCAAAATATGGCTTGGCAGAGCCTGTCTCGGACGCGAGAGCCAAATCAGACGTCTGTGTGCTGTGCACTAGCCTGTACCGCACTGGGAGTCCTGAGCGCAGTACATGAGTACAGCGGTGCAGCTGCACGGCTGGCGACTCCGCCAGGATGCATGCACCAATTCACTTGTTCGTATCAGGCATTTACAAACTCTGTCGCAACCAGGGACATGATACCTTGTTGTGATTGCGGACCATAGCAAAGGTACCTAGGCTGCATCTACATTGCAGACGTGCGCCAATGACAAGCGCTTTCAGTGCGATGTCGCTCAGCACTCGGGCCCCCACTCCCTTTTGGGTAGCCTGGGTGGCTGGGGCTCGCAAGAACATCGCTTTGCTGTAGATAAAATCGCGGTCACAAACGGCACGGCAGCGCAAGGCGCGCAGTCCGCGTGCCGCACCCAAGCGTGCTGCGATCCATACGCCAGGCGCCTTTCAAGCTATAGCGCAGAAACCACCAGCTTGAGCCCGATCTTGGTGTCACCAAGGGGTTGAGTTGGAGTTGTTGAAAGGTGATCCTTGCTCCTGCTTCCTGCCGGCAGCGAAAATCGGAGCCGCTGTCTCAGCATTGAATGGGTGACACAGGGTCACCCCCCGAGTATCACCCTGCACCGCCTGAACCAACGCGCGAAACTGATCGGAGGAGGAATTTTGCTGTCCGAATATAACGTTGCGCGCTCCATACGCTGTTCCAAGACTCACCAGCGAGTTGGGACAAGAGCGTGTCGCAAAAGCTCTTGGCCGCTCAAAATGGGGAATCCGGAGCAGGAACGCCGTGATTTATCGCCGCACGGGCCGCCCCTCGATGCCGAAGAGCGCTTTGCGGCGCTGTGCAACAGCGGCGGCGGCACAGACTCCCGACTGATCGTCCGTTTCTGGCGCGCGGTCGTGTGCCCAATCCTCAGGCTGCTGCTGCGCATCGCAAGTGAGCCAAGATTTACTTCTGCGGCCGCCGAACTGCGGTGCCGCCCTCGCCGCCCGCGCGCCCGCGGGGCGCACCCCCCAATTCCAACTGACGGCCCTCGCGCCGCCCCCACATGCGCCTGCACCCTGCACCCCCTCTCAGTGCAGACCGGGGTGTCGACGGCTCAGTCCATGGTGGGCCCCTGACTCAGTCCTGACGCCCTGAAACTTCCTGTCCCCCGCCACGGCTCGCTCCCTCTATGTTAACTACCACACCATGCCACACCTGGTCGGGGCAGCCACACGCATGCTTTGCCCCCCGCCGGCCCATGGGCTCGCCGCCGGCCCTCCCCATTGCCGCAGCCCCCCCTGACAGCACCCCTGCTTGCAATCTCTTGCCGCGGCGCCTCCATCACCAACCCCCGCCCCAAAGGGCCCGCCTTGCGCTGACGTCACATTTCGGCCCCACCCCTAGCACCCTCGCCCGTCCATTGATGGCCTGCCTTGCACCCCCTCCATGCACCCCCTCCGTCAATCCCAGCCCCCGACCCCAAGCCCCCGTTGCTGCCGCACACCCAACCAAAATCCACCGCGAATCATTTCCCCCTTCCCACCTCTGCCGCCTGATCATCTCAACTCTCGCATTGAATACACCGGCCCCCACTCGCGACCCACGCAAACCCACCC